CACTCACCTGTGTCTCACTGTGTCTCACTCACTCACCTGTGTCTGTGTCTCACTCACCTGTGTCTCACTCACCTGTGTCTCTCCGACAGCCCCTACAGGCCCTACCCCTCTCCCCCTTCACGCTGGGCTGCTCCCTGCTCGTCACCCTCTCCCACCTCACCCGTGTCTCACTCACCTGTGTCTCACTGTGTCTCACTCACTCACCTGTGTCTCACTCACCTGTGTCTCACTCACTCACCTGTGTCTCTCTCACTGTGTCTCTCTCTCCGACAGCCCCTACAGGCCCTACCCCTGTCCCCCTTCACCCTGGGCTGCTCCCTGCTCGTCACCCTCTCCCACCTCACCGGGGGCTCTCTCACTGTGTCTCACTCACTCACCTGTGTCTCTCTGTGTCTCTCCGACAGCCCCTACAGGCCCTACCACTCTCCCCCTTCACGCTGGGCTGCTCCCTGCTCGCCACCCTCTCCCACCTCACCTGTGTCTCACTCACCTGTGTCTCTCTGTGTCTCACTCACCTGTGTCTCTCTCTCCGACAGCCCCTACAGGCCCTACCCCTCTCCCCCTTCACCCTGGGCTGCTCCCTGCTCGTCACCCTCTCCCACCTCACCTGTGTCTCACTCACTTACCTGTGTCTGTGTCCCTCTCACTGTGTCTCACTCACTCACCTGTGTCTCACTCACCTGTGTCTCACTCACTCACCTGTGTCTCTATCTCTGTGTCTCTCTCTCCGACAGCCCCTACAGGCCCTACCCCTGTCCTCCTTCACCCTGGGCTGCTCCCTGCTCGCCACCCTCTCCCACCTCACCTGCGGCTCTCTCACTGTGTCTGTGTCTCACTCACCTGTGTCTCACTGTGTCTCACTCACCTGTGTCTCACTCACCTGTGTCTCACTGTGTCTCACTCACTCACCTGTGTCTCTATCTCTGTGTCTGTGTCTCACTCACTCACCTGTGTCTGTGTCTCACTCACCTGTGTCTCACTGTGTCTCACTGTGTCTGTGTCTCACTCACCTGTGTCTCACTGTGTCTCACTCACCTGTGTCTCACTAACCTGTGTCTGTGTCTCACTCACCTGTGTCTCACTGTGTCTCACTCACCTGTGTCTCACTAACCTGTGTCTCACTCACCTGTGTCTCACTGTGTCTCACTCACCTGTCTCACTCACCTGTGTCTCACTGTGTCTCACTGTGTCTCACCTGTGTCTCACTCACCTGTGTCTCACTGTGTCTCACTCACTCACCTGTGTCTCACTGTGTCTCACTCACTGTGTCTCACTCACCTGTCTCTCTCTCTGTCTCTCCGACAGTCCCGACAGGCCCTACCCCTCTCCCCCTTCACGCTGGGCTGCTCCCTGCTCGCCACCCTCTCCCACCTCACCTGTGTCTCACTCACTCACCTGTGTCTCACTGTGTCTCACTCACCTGTGTCTGTGTCTCACTCACCTGTGTCTCTCTCACTGTGTCTCTCCGACAGCCCCTACAGACCCTACCCCTCTCCCCTTCACCCTGGGCTGCTCCCTGCTCGTCACCCTCTCCCACCTCACCGGGGGCTCTCTCACTGTGTCTGTGTCTCACTCACCTGTGTCTCACTCACTCACCTGTGTCTCTCTCTCTGTGTCTCTCTCTCCGACAGCCCCTACAGGCCCTACCCCTCTCCCCCTTCACGCTGGGCTGCTCCCTGCTCGTCACCCTCTCCCACCTCACCCGTGTCTCACTCACCTGTGTCTCACTGTGTCTCACTCACTCACCTGTGTCTCACTCACTCACCTGTGTCTCACTCACTCACCTGTGTCTCACTGTGTCTCACTCACTCACCTGTGTCTCTCTGTGTCTCTCTCTCCGACAGCCCCTACAGGCCCTACCCCTCTCCCCCTTCACGCTGGGCTGCTCCCTGCTCGCCACCCTCTCCCACCTCACCGGGGGCTCTCTCACTCACCTGTGTCTCACTCACTGTGTCTCACTCACTCACTGTGTCTCACTCACCTGTGTCTCACCTGTGTCTCGCTCTCTTTGTCTCTCCGACAGCCCCTACAGGCCCTACCCCTCTCCCCCTTCACCCTGGGCTGCTCCCTGCTCGCCACCCTCTCCCACCTCACCGGGGGCTCTCTCACTGTGTCTGTGTCTCACTCACCTGTGTCTCTCTATGTCTCACTCACCTGTCTCTCTCACTGTGTCTGTCCGACAGCCCCTACAGGCCCTACCCCTCTCCCCCTTCACGCTGGGCTGCTCCCTGCTCGCCACCCTCTCCCACCTCACCGGGGGCTCTCTCACTCACCTGTGTCTCACTCACTGTGTCTCACTCACTCACTGTGTCTCACTCACCTGTGTCTCACCTGTGTCTCGCTCTCTTTGTCTCTCCGACAGCCCCTACAGGCCCTACCCCTCTCCCCCTTCACCCTGGGCTGCTCCCTGCTCGCCACCCTCTCCCACCTCACCGGCGGCTCTCTCACTGTGTCTGTGTCTCACTCACCTGTGTCTCACTCACTCACCTGTGTCTCACTGTGTCTCACTCACTGTGTCTCACTCACTCACCTGTGTCTCACTCACTGTGTCTCTCTCTCTGTGTCTCTCTCTCCGACAGCCCCTACAGGCCCTACCCCTGTCCCCCTTCACCCTGGGCTGCTCCCTGCTCGTCACCCTCTCCCACCTCACCTGTGTCTCACTCACTCACCTGTGTCTCACTGTGTCTCACTCACTGTGTCTCACTCACTCACCTGTGTCTCTCTCTCCGACAGCCCCTACAGGCCCTACCCCTGTCCCCCTTCACGCTGGGCTGCTCCCTGCTTGTCACCTTCTCCCACCTCACCTGTGTCTCACTCACCTGTGTATCACTGTGTCTCACTCACTCACCTGTGTCTGTGTCTCACTCACCTGTGTCTCTCTCTCTGTCTCTCCGACAGCCCCTACAGGCCCTACCCCTCTCCCCCTTCACCCTGGGCTGCTCCCTGCTCGCCACCCTCTCCCACCTCACCTGTGTCTCACTCACTCACCTGTGTCTCACTGTGTCTCTCTGTGTCTCACTCACCTGTGTCTCACTGTGTCTCACTGTGTCTCACTCACTCACCTGTGTCTCTCTCTCCGACAGCCCCTACAGGCCCTACCCCTCTCCCCCTTCACCCTGGGCTGCTCCCTGCTCGCCACCCTCTCCCACCTCACCGGGGGCTCTCTCACCTGTGTCTGTGTCTGTGTCTCACTCACTCACCTGTGTCTCACTCACCTGTGTCTCTCTCTCTGTGTCTCTCCGACAGCCCCTACAGGCCCTTCCCCTCTCCCCCTTCACCCTGGGCTGCTCCCTGCTCGCCACCCTCTCCCACCTCACCTGTGTCTCACTCACTCACTCACCTGTGTCTCTCTCTCTGTGTCTCTCCGACAGCCCCTACAGGCCCTACCCCTCTCCCCCTTCACCCTGGGCTGCTCCCTGCTCGCCACCCTCTCCCACCTCACCGGGGGCTCTCTCACTGTGTCTGTGTCTCACTCACCTGTGTCTCACTGTGTCTCACTCACCTGTGTCTCACTCACTCACCTGTCTCACTCACTCACCTGTGTCTCTATCTCTGTGTCTCTCCGACAGCCCCTACAGGCCCTACCCCTCTCCCCCTTCACCCTGGGCTGCTCCCTGCTCGCCACCCTCTCCCACCTCACCGGGGGCTCTCTCACTGTGTCTCACTGTGTCTCACTCACTCACTGTGTCTCACTCACTCACCTGTGTCTCACTGTGTCTCTCTATGTCTCACTCACCTGTGTCTCTCTCTCTCCGACAGCCCCTACAGGCCCTACCCCTCTCCCCCTTCACGCTGGGCTGCTCCCTGCTCGCCACCCTCTCCCACCTCACCTGTGTCTCACTCACTCACTCACCTGTGTCTCACTCACTCACCTGTCTCACTCACTCACCTGTGTCTCTCTCTCTGTGTCTCTCTCTCCGACAGCCCCTACAGGCCCTACCCCTCTCCCCCTTCACGCTGGGCTGCTCCCTGCTCGCCACCCTCTCCCACCTCACCGGGGGCTCTCTCACTGTGTCTCACTCACTCACCTGTGTCTCACTCACTCACCTGTGTCTCACTCACCTGTGTCTCACTCACCTGTGTCTCTATCTCTGTGTCTCTCTCTCCGACAGCCCCTACAGGCCCTACCCCTCTCCCCCTTCACCCTGGGCTGCTCCCTGCTCGCCACCCTCTCCCACCTCACCGGGGGCTCTCTCACTGTGTCTCACTCACTCACCTGTGTCTCTCTCTCTCTCCGACAGCCCCTACAGGCCCTACCCCTCTCCCCCTTCACCCTGGGCTGCTCCCTGCTCGCCACCCTCTCCCACCTCACCTGTGTCTCACTCACTCACCTGTGTCTCACTGTGTCTCACTCACTGTGTCTGTGTCTCTCTCCGACAGCCCCTACAGGCCCTACCCCTCTCCCCCTTCACGCTGGGCTGCTCCCTGCTCGCCACCCTCTCCCACCTCACCGGGGGCTCTCTGTGTCTCACTCACCTGTGTCTCACTCACTCACCTGTGTCTCACTCACCTGTGTCTCACTCACTCACTCACCTGTGTCTCTCCGACAGCCCCTACAGGCCCTACCCCTCTCCCACCTCACCTGTGTCTCACTCACTCACCTGTGTCTCTCTCTCTGTGTCTCTCTCTCCGACAGCCCCTACAGGCCCTACCCCTCTCCCCCTTCACGCTGGGCTGCTCCCTGCTCGCCACCCTCTCCCACCTCACCGGGGGCTCTCCGCACCGCGCCGCCGCCGCCGCCGCCCTGCTGCCACCTGGCCCTGCCGGCGGCGGCGGCGGCCCGCCGCTGGCGGGCCCACGGCCGCCGCCTGTACCCGCTGCACGCCCGGCGGGGCCGCTGCGGGCCCTGCGGCCTCCTGCGGCAGGCCCGGGGCGGGCGGGGCGCCGGCGGGGCCCTCGTGGCGGCGGCGGCGGCCAGGGTCACGGCGGCCGGGGCCTACGCCTCGGTGAGGATCCTCGGAGGAGGAGGCGGTGGAGGCAGTGGTGGAGGTGGAGGAGGCGGTGGAGGCGGTGGAGGCGGAGGCGGTGGAGGCGGTGGGACCGCCGGCGACGCCGTCAGGTTCTGGACGCCGCTGGTGATGTGCTACGCGCTGCTGGTGGTGCAGGCGGGAGGTGGGTGGGTTGGTGGGTGGAGGGGGGGGGGGTGCTGTAGTGTTGTGTTGTAGTGTGTGGTGTAGTGTGGTGTGTAGTGGTGGGTGTAGTGGGGTGTGTGTAGTGTGTGTGGTGTGTGTGGTGGTGGGTGTGGTGTGTGTGGTGTGTGTGGTGTGTGTTGTGTGGTGTGTAGTGTGGTGTGTAGTGTGGTGTGTGTGGTGGGTGTGGTGTGTGTGTGTGTAGTGTGTGGTGTGTGGAGGTGTGTGTGGTGTGTGGTGTGTGTGTGGGGTGGGTGAGTGAGTGAGTGAGTGGGTGAGTGAGTGAGTGGGTGAGTGAGTGAGTGGGTGGTGAGTGAGTGGGTGAGTGAATGACTGAGTGAGTGAGTGAATGACTGAGTGAATGACTGAATGAGTGAGTGGGTGAGTGAATGACTGAGTGGGTGATGGTGCAGGTGATGGAGGTCATGGTGGAGGTGATGATGGTGGAGGTGATGATGGTGGAGGTGATGATGGTGGAGGTGATGATGGTGGTGGAGGTGATGATGGTGGAGGTGGTGATGGTGGAGGTGGTGATGGTGGAGGTGATGATGATAGTGGAGGTGATGATGGTGGAGGTGATGGTGCAGGTGATGGAGGTGATGATGGTGGAGGTGATGATGGCGGAGGAGGTGATGATGGTGGAGGTGGTGATGGTGGAGGTGATGGTGCAGGTGATGGTGGTGGAGGTGATGATGATGGTGGAGGTGATGATGGTGGAGGTGATGGTGCAGGTGATGGTGGTGGAGGTGATGGAGGTGATAGTGGAGGTGATGATGGTGGAGGTGATGATGGTGCAGGTGATGGAGGTGATGATGGTGGAGGTGATGATGATGGAGGTGACGATGATGGTGGAGGTGATGATGATGATGATGGAGTACCCCTACCACCCACCGCCTGTGTCCCCCTACCCACCACCTGTGTCCCCCTACCCACCACCTGTGTCCCCCTACCCACCACCTGTGTCCCCCTACCCACCACCTGTGTCCCCCTACCCACCGCCTGTGTCCCCCTACCCACCACCTGTGTCCCCCTACCCACCACCTGTGTCCCCCTACCCACCACCTGTGTCCCCCTGCCCACCGCCTGTGTCCCCCCTACCCACCACCTGTGTCCCCCTGCCCACCGCCTGTGTCACCCTACCCACCGCCTGTCTCACCCTACCCACCGCCTGTGTCCCCCCTACCCACCGCCTGTGTCCCCCTACCCACCACAGACGATGATGCTCCACCAGGACCGCCTCGCTCCGGACTGCCGGTGCCGGTGGGGCCCCTGGCGGTGAAGTTGGCCTCGCTGGGCATCGTGATACTCATGGTGGGAGACTGGACAGACCTCCTGCATCTACCCCTCGCTCTGCTGGGAGAACAGTGGTGCACCTACCACTCACCGCAGGTCCTCGTTAGTTAGCTAGTTAGTGGGAGTTAGCTAGTTAGTGGGAGTTAGTTAGTGGGAGTTAGTTAGTTAGTGGGAGTTAGCTAGTTAGTGGGAGTTAGCTAGTTAGTGGGAGTTAGCTAGTGGGAGTTAGCTAGTTAGTGGGAGTTAGCTAGTTAGTGGGAGTTAGTTAGTTAGTGGGAGTTAGCTAGTTAGTGGGAGTTAGCTAGTTAGTGGGAGTTAGCTAGTTAGTGGGGGTTAGCTAGTTAGTGGGGGTTAGTTAGTTAGTGGGAGTTAGCTAGTTAGTGGGAGTTAGAGACGGTGAAGTTGGCCTCGCTGGGCATCGTGATACTCATGGTGGGAGACTGGACAGACCTCCTGCATCTACCCCTCGCTCTGCTGGGAGAACAGTGGTGCACCTACCACTCACCGCAGGTCCTCGTTAGTTAACTAGTTAGTGGGAGTTAGCTAGTTAGTGGGGGTTAGCTAGTTAGTGGGAGTTAGTTAGTAGGAGTTAGTTAGTTAGTGGGAGTTAGCTAGTTAGTGGGAGTTAGTTAGTTAGTGGGAGTCAGTGACGGTGAAGTTGGCCTCGCTGGGCATCGTGATACTCATGGTGGGACACTGGACAGACCTCCTGCATCTACCCCTCGCTCTGCTGGGAGAACAGTGGTGCACCTACCACTCACCACAGGTCCTCGTTAGTTAGCTAGTTAGTGGGAGTTAGTTAGTTAGTGGGAGTTAGCTAGTGGGGGTTAGTTAGTGGGAGTTAGCTAGCTAGTGGGAGTTAGCTAGTTAGTGGGAGCTAGCTAGTGGGAGTTAGCTAGTTAGTGGGAGTTAGTTAGTAGGAGTTAGCTAGCTAGTGTGAGTTAGCTAGTTAGTGGGAGTTAGCTAGTTAGTGGGAGTTAGTGACGGTGAAGTTGGCCTCGCTGGGCATCGTGATACTCATGGTGGGAGACTGGACAGACCTCCTGCATCTACCCCTCGCTCTGCTGGGAGAACAGTGGTGCACCTACCACTCACCACAGGTCCTCGTTAGTTAGCTAGTTAGTGGGAGTTAGCTAGTTAGTGGGAGTTAGCTGGTTAGTGGGAGTTAGCTAGTTAGTGGGGGTTAGTTAGTTAGTGGGAGTTAGTTAGTTAGTGGGAGTTAGCTAGTTAGTGGGAGTTAGCTAGTTAGTGGGAGTTAGTTAGTTAGTGGGAGTTAGCTAGTTAGTGGGAGTTAGCTAGTTAGTGGGAGTTAGTTAGTTAGTGGGAGTTAGCTAGTTAGTGGGAGTTAGTTAGTTAGTGGGAGTTAGCTAGTTAGTGGGAGTTAGTTAGTGGGAGTTAGCTAGTTAGTGGGAGTTAGTTAGTTAGTGGGAGTTAGTTAGTGGGAGTTAGCTAGTTAGTGGGAGTTAGCTAGTTAGTGGGAGTTAGCTAGCTAGTGGGAGTTAGCTAGTTAATAGGAGTTAGTTAGTTAGTGGGAGTTAGCTAGTTAGTGGGAGTTAGTGACGGTGAAGTTGGCCTCGCTGGGCATCGTGATACTCATGGTGGGAGACTGGACAGACCTCCTGCATCTACCCCTCGCTCTGCTGGGAGAACAGTGGTGCACCTACCACTCACCACAGGTCCTCGTTAGTTAGCTAGTTAGTGGGAGTTAGCTAGTTAGTGGGAGTTAGCTAGCTAGTGGGGGTTAGCTAGTTAGTGGGAGTTAGTTAGTGGGAGTTAGCTAGTTAGTGGGAGTTAGTTAGTTAGTGGGAGTTAGCTAGTTAGTGGGAGTTAGTGACGGTGAAGTTGGCCTCGCTGGGCATCGTGATACTCATGGTGGGAGACTGGACAGACCTCCTGCATCTACCCCTCGCTCTGCTGGGCGAACAGTGGTGCACCTACCACTCACCGCAGGTCCTCGTTAGTTAGTTAGTTAGTGGGAGTTAGCTAGTTAGTGGGAGTTAGTTAGCTAGTGGGAGTTAGTGGGAGTTAGTTAGTTAGTAGGAGTTAGCTAGCTAGTGGGAGTTAGCTAGTTAGTGGGAGTTAGTTAGTGGGAGTTAGCTAGTTAGTGGGAGTTAGTTAGTTAGTGGGAGTTAGCTAGTTAGTGGGAGTTAGTGACGGTGAAGTTGGCCTCGCTGGGCATCGTGATACTCATGGTGGGACACTGGACAGACCTCCTGCATCTACCCCTCGCTCTGCTGGGAGAACAGTGGTGCACCTACCACTCACCACAGGTCCTCGTTAGTTAGCTAGTTAGTGGGAGTTAGTTAGTTAGTGGGGGTTAGCTAGTGGGGGTTAGTTAGTGGGGGTTAGTTAGTGGGAGTTAGTTAGTGGGAGTTAGTTAGTTAGTGGGAGTTAGTTAGTTAGTGGGAGTTAGATAGTTAGTGGGAGTTAGTTAGTTAGTGGGAGTTAGTTAGTGGGAGTTAGTTAGTTAGTGGGAGTTAGTTAGTGGGGGTTAGCTAGTTAGTGGGAGTTAGTTAGTGGGAGTTAGTTAGTTAGTGGGAGTTAGCTAGTTAGTGGGAGTTAGCTAGTTAGTGGGAGTTAGTTAGTTAGTGGGAGTTAGTTAGTAGGAGTTAGTTAGTTAGTGGGAGTTAGTTAGTTAGTTAGTGGGAGTTAGTGGGAGTTAGTTAGTTAGTGGGAGTTAGTTAGTTAGTGGGAGTTAGTTAGTTAGTGGGAGTTAGTTAGTTAGTTAGTGGGAGTTAGTGGGAGTTAGTTAGTTAGTGGGAGTTAGTTAGTGGGAGTTAGTTAGCTAGTTAGTGGGGGTTAGTTAGTGGGAGTTAGTTAGTGGGAATTAGTTAGTTAGTGGGAGTTAGTTAGTTAGTGGGAATTAGTTAGTGGGAGTTAGTTAGTTAGTTAGTAGGAGTTAGCTAGTTAGTGGGAGTTAGTTAGTGGGAGTTAGCTAGTTAGTGGGAGTTAGTGGGAGTTAGTTAGTGGGAGTTAGTTAGTTAGTGGGAGTTAGCTAGTTAGTGGGAGTTAGTTAGTTAGTGGGAGTTAGTTAGTGGGAGTTAGTTAGTTAGTGGGAGTTAGCTAGTTAGTGGGAGTTAGTTAGTGGGAGTTAGCTAGTTAGTGGGAGTTAGTTAGTTGGAGTTAGTTAGTTAGTGGGAGTTAGCTAGTTAGTGGGGGTTAGTTAGTTAGTTAGTGGGAGTTAGTTAGTTAGTGGGAGTTAGCTAGTTAGTGGGAGTTAGTTAGTTAGTTAGTGGGAGTTAGTTAGTTAGTGGGAGTTAGTTAGTTAGTGGGAGTTAGTTAGTTAGTGGGAGTTAGCTAGTTAGTGGGAGTTAGCTAGTTAGTGGGAGTTAGTTAGTGGGAGCTAGTTAGTTAGTGGGAGTTAGTTAGTGGGAGTTAGCTAGTTAGTAGGAGTTAGCTAGTTAGTGGGGGTTAGCTAGTTAGTGGGAGTTAGTTGGAGTTAGTTAGTGGGAGTTAGTTAGTAGGAGTTAGTTAGTGGGAGTTAGTGGGTGGGAATTAGCTAGTTAGTGGGTGGGAGTTAGTTAGTTAGTGGGAGTTAGCTAGTTAGTGGGAGTTAGTTAGTGGGAGTTAGTTAGTTAGTGGGAGTTAGTTAGTGGGAGTTAGTTAGTGGGAGTGAGTTAATTAGTGGGAGTTAGTTAGTTAGTGGGAGTTAGCTAGTTAGTGGGAGTTAGTTAGTTAGTGGGAGTTAGTTAGTAGGAGTTAGTTAGTGGGAGTTAGTGGGTGGGAATTAGCTAGTTAGTGGGAGTTAGTTAGTTAGTGGGAGTTAGTTAGTTAGTGGGAGTTAGTTGGTGGGAGTTAGTTAGTGGGAGTTAGTTAGTTAGTGGGAGTTAGCTAGTTAGGGGGAGTTAGCTAGTTACTGGGAGTTAGTTAGTGGGAGTTAGTTAGTGGGAGTTAGTTTGTGGGAGTTAGTTAGTGGGAGTTAGTTAGTGGGAGTTAGTTAGTGGGAGTTAGTTAGTGGGAGTTAGTGGGAGTTAGTTAGTGGGAGTTAGTTAGTGGGAGTTAGTTAGTGGGAGTTAGTTAGTGGGAGTTAGTTAGTTAGTTAGTGGGAGTTAGCTAGTGGGAGTTAGCTAGTGGGAGTTAGTTAGTGGGAGTTAGCTAGTGGGAGTTAGCTAGTTAGTGGGAGTTAGCTAGTTAGTGGGAGTTAGTTAGTGGGAGTTAGCTAGTTAGTGGGAGTTCGCTAGTTAGTGGGAGTTAGCTAGTTAGTAGGAGTTAGTTAGTTAGTGGGAGTTAGCTAGTTAGTGGGAGTTAGTTAGTAGGAGTTAGTTGGCTAGTGGGAGTTTGTTAGCTAGTGGGAGTTAGTTAGTTAGTGGGAGTTAGCTAGTGGGAGTTTGTTAGCTAGTGGGAGTTAGTTAGTTAGTGGGAGTTAGTTAGCTAGTGGGAGTTAGCTAGTTAGTGGGAGTTAGCTAGTGGGAGTTATTTAGTTAGTGAGAGTTAGCTATCTAGTGGGAGTTAGCTAGTTAGTGGGAGTTAGTTGGTGGGAGTTAGTTAGTTAGTGGGAGTTAGTTAGTGGGAGTTAGTTAGTGGGGGTGAGTTAGTTAGTGGGAGTTAGTTAGTAGGAGTTAGCTAGTTAGTAGGGGTGAGTTAGTTAGTGGGAGTTAGTTAGTGGGAGTTAGTTAGTAAGTAGGGTTGAGTAAGTTAGTGGGAGTTAGTTAGTGGGAGTTAGTTAGTAGGAGTTAGTAGGGGTGAGTTAGTTAGTAGGAGTTAGTTAGTGGGAGTTAGCTAGTAAGTAGGGGTGAGTAAGTTAGTGGGAGTTAGTTAGTGGGAGTTAGTTAGTAGGAGTTAGTTAGTTAGTAGGGGTGAGTTAGTAGGAGTTAGTAGGAGTTAGTTAGTAGGAGTTAGTTAGTAGCGGTGAGTTAGTAGGAGTTAGTTAGTTGGAGTTAGTTATTAGGGGTGAGTTAGTGGGAGTGAGTTGTGTGTGTACAGTGTAGTGTATAGTAGTATATAGTAGTGTAGTGTATAGTAGTGTAGTGTATAGTAGTGTAGTGTATAGTAGTGTAGTGTATAGTAGTGTAGTGTATAGTAGTGTAGTGTATAGTAGTGTAGTGTATAGTAGTGTAGTGTGTATAGTAGTGTATAGTAGTGTAGTGTATAGTAGTGTAGTGTATAGTAGTGTAGTGTGTATAGTAGACTGTTAGCTGGTCATTAAGCGGAGTGAGTGTACCGACAGTCAACAATGCAGAT